GCGGGGGTGTATTTCTTAAAATTTGACTCTGCAGTGGAAAAGATGCATTTTTAGAAGTATCTGGGGAAAGTTTGAGCCGTGTCATCTTTTGGGTAAATGGACATCTCTTTTTTTTTTTTTTACTTCTAGCCCCAGCATTACTAGAGAAAATTTATTTTACAGCTTACTTTAGGTCTCCAGATATAGGCTGTGATTAAAATTAGTTTAAATTAATTCCATGTTGCATTAAACTCCATCCTTACACTGTTACACACCAAAATCCTGATACAGTTCCATATCTGGCTGCATAGTTCTTGATTCAGACATTTCCTTCTCGTGGTAAACACACACACTTTTTAGTCTTTTAAAAAGACCTTAAAAATCAATACACCCCATCCTGGAAGTTTACTGTGCCAGTGACCTTGATGTTACAGGCCCTTGGTGTTAAAAGGCTTTAAAACCTCAGGTGTGCTCAGTCTGCAGTCAGCGAGCCAAAGGCCTATTCCCACTTTGGATTCATGGCTTGACAGGCATTTTTCGGTGCACAAAGGTGCAAACTGGGATGATTGGAAGGGGCCTTATTTTTGAAAAGCATTGCCCACTTTGGTCATGAAGAAAGGGAACTCATCAAAGGCTGTACAGTGACTGGAGAAATCAATGTTCCTCATCTGGCCTGTGGGTGAAGAGGCTTCTGGACAGGGACTCTTGCTCAGTGGCCCATGCAGAATGTGAAGCACAAGAGCTTTGCAGAATCTGAAACAGTATGTTTGCCATTAAGGACTAGACTAGACATCTTGATTTGGTTCATAGGTCTGGCACAGACTCCTGGTATAGTCTTGGATGAGTTGCTTCGTCTCTCTGGACCTTGATTCCTCTTCTGTAGAGTGGCTATAAAATGCATCCTTTCCAGCTTTTGTCAAGTCAGAGCATTAGTCAAGTGAAATGGAAGTTGACAGAGGGCATCCGATTGCTTCCTGTGAACACATGAGGAGGGTAAATATCAGGGAGGGAGAAGAGCTACTTAAGCTAAAGAACAGTTTTGTCAGAACAAATGCCTATAAATAGAAGGTAGATAAATTTCAGATGGAAATGTGAAGAAAGTTTCGCATCATCAGATCGGTTGAGTTCCAGAGCAGCCTTCTAGGATGAGTCAAGGGGAGATGACCTGGTGCATAAGGCACATTTCTACCCCCCCTTAAAATTAAAATGCGTTGTGGAAGCCAAAGCTGCCTGCTGACTCTGTCCCTCCTGCTGCTGCCGGGCTGTGGTGCATCTACCAGTCCTGCTGCTGCTTTTGCGCTACTGCAGTAGCAGTAGCCTCAGAGGCATTGGTAACAGAGGTCAGGTGTGACATCTAACTTTTTGGGGGTAGAGTCTCTTGAGAAGTGGGAAAAGCTGCCTTTAGTATGGACCTTGACCAGTTAGTCAGTGGGATTATTTGGCATGGTTTTTATTCCAGCAGAGGACTGGTCTTCACAGTGCCAAAGGTTTTTTTCCTGTCTAATATTTCCCAGAAATGGCTGCATTTTAGCTTGTGAGACAGTGAAATCAGAGCAGAAAGGTGATGGTGGGGATCATTAGTAGTTTTCCCAGGTTGGCGATTCTGAACTTGGCATTCTTTCTAAAGGTTGCCAGGTATCAGACATCACTTCTGGATGTTAAAGTTTGCAGTATTTTAATCTTCGCACATTTCCCTGCTCCTTTTCTTGCTCTCTAGGTTGCCAGATGGATGCCAGAGACAAGCAGCTTTTACGCTCCCTGCGCCTGGAGCTCTGCACAGAGGTGCTGGTGGATGGAGTTGTTATTCAGTATCTCTACCAAGAAGGGATTCTCACAGACAGTCATGTTGAAGAAATAAAATCCCAAACCACCAGTCAGAGGAAAACCATGATGCTCCTTGATATTCTCCCCACCAGAGGACCCAAGGCTTTTGATGTGTTCTTGGATTCCTTACAGGAGTTCCCATGGGTTAAAGACAAGCTGATGCTGAAGCGTAAGGAAATGACTGTACAAGAACCTGCAGGTAAGGCCAGGATTGTTGTTGCTGATACTTTGAAGCTTGTTCTCAAGCTGTAATTTGGAAAGTATTGAATGTACCAGTAATTTCCAGTTATGTGTTGTGTAGATATGGAGCATGATACCAACAGAAGGGCACAGCCTGGATTTCCTGGAAGCCAGTCAAATGCCTGGAAGTATTGCAAAGTTTGGGGAGTGAGCAGGGCTGAGTTTCAGGAGACTGGGAGACAGCAGGAGAGACTGCCTTGGGAGAAGCTGTGATGTGGGAGGACCTGGGCTCTATTATCTTAAAGAGAATTAACTATAAAAAGTAGTTTTGACTAGCTGCAGAATAGTCTCTTCACAATCCGTACCTGATTATTGTTTGGTTTATGTATATTTTACAGTAGTTTGTTTCTGGATTGTTCACATTGACAGAATTTTTATTTACTTACTTTTATTATTATTTTAATGTAATTTTGGTTTAGTAGCATATGCTAATTTAGATTAATTTAGTTCATTATGTTTACTGGAGTGCAAATATCTAGGATCATTACTTCCAAAATTACTAGCCATTGCTTAGTTTTAAAACAAATTTAGGAGCTAACTGATTTAGGGGGTGTTAGATAATCTTATTTAGTCAAATCTCTGGCTTTCTGACATTTAAACTTCTAAAACTAGTTTTCTGGACTTGATGTTTGTTCAGAAGTGATTTCTTTACCAACACATGCATGCAATTGTTGAGCTGTTTTGGAGTTAAGACAACTGTTTAAAGCACACATTCCTTGCCCTAGATTCTGGTAGCATGCACTGGCTGCTAACCTCATGTTACCAGTAAGACAGTGAAATAGTCCTCACATGGGAACGTAATTTCTGAGCAATCTGATTAAACTTTCTCCAAGCCCTGCCCCCTCTCCGCCCCGATTTGAGTTTGGTCGTTTGTATTTTGATGCACATGATGTGTGATTTTTCCAGTGTCAGTGTGCTTTGCGTGAGACTGAAATCCTGTGAACGGGGTGACTAAGACCCATTGACCATCATGTGCACCTGCGTCCCAGTTAGCTGCACGTTCATGAGTGTTTTGTCAAGATCTGCTGGATAAATCTGAGATTATCTTACTTCAGGACATTTTTAATGGAATATCGCGACAGCTTGTCTTTCTATTAAGTCTCTGTGGAAGGTGCTTTATACTTGCTTGGAAATGGGTAAATAATTTTCATAATTTGTGAAACAAATGTCCTGTGCTGCCCATAGGGGAATACACTGCAAGTTCTCAGCACAGTGCAAGCTTGTGGCATTGACTGTGTTGGAAAAGACCTTGCTGCTGTTAGGACAAATCCTGCCGTGCTAATGCTCTTTATTTGCCTTACAAATCAGCCTGTTTGTTTGCTAATTGTTGGTTAAGCTGCCGAATAATCCTTACAGTTCCAGAAATGCACACACAGCCATTGAGTACAGTCAGGATCATGTAGTTTGTTACTAGAAAAATTATTTCAAATTTGTGTTCTTTTGGTTGTTTTGTGGATTCCTTGTTCCTGTTCTTGATCGCTTGTGACTAACGTGTTGGATTTACGCATATCAGGTTCTCCAGTTTCGAGTGGGCTGACTGTGTTTGATAATCCTATTGCCAAATTTTGTGTGTAAATAAGAAAAGGCTTCTAGATTAGATCAAAGGTTACTGTTATTTTTGCTGTGGCCATGCAGAGTGTAAGAACAGGAAAAAAGGCAGATAACCAGGTTTGTTTTAATATTTAGGCATTTTCTTCAGAAGCCAAAGAAAGAGAGCACCATCTGTGCCCTGATAAATGCCGAGTGCACCCTGGAATGAATTGGAAATTACGGCAGCATCATCAATGCTGATTACATGCAAGAAAATGTGGTTTGGGATAAAAATGTGCGCTTTGCATTCTAAGTAACAAACTTGTAAGCTTTTGTCTCAGCAGAGTACTTGAGCATGTGCTTGCCCTTAAGCGTGGAAAAAGCCATTAGCTCTAATAAAACTATAAGCATACTTAAAATGAAATGTGTTCTTTAGTGCCATGCTAGATAACTTCTGCCTTATTGGAAACATTCCTTATAAATGATGATTTGTCAGTGGCAATTTGTTTTAAAGAATCCCTTTGCAGTGAAAAAAGCCTGACACATACATCCTACCTTTTTTTTTAGACCCTAAAACTTTTAAAATTGAAGTTGGTTTTGTGGCTCCAGATTTTAAAATCTTTTTTTCCTTTGAATCATGCATACTTATGGAAATCGCATGCCTGCTCTTCCCTTGTTTATGCTCAATTAAAATTCTGTTTACTCAAGCAAAATATCCATTTTTTCAGGTCTTTTGCAGGACTAAGGACTGGTCACAAGTTGTTCCTTGAAGGAAGGTTTTATTATATAGTCTTTCACTTCTCACTGACTACATGTAGGATTTTTATAGTCAGTAGAAGTAGACTATTAGGTTTCCTCCATATGAACATAAAAACTGTGGCATGTGCACAATGATTTTTCTATGTAGGCCTTTGGATTATTGTGCATTTTGGGAGATCAGGCTTTCTATCTTTGTTTCAGCTGAGAAATATAGTTTGTTGGTTCCCCATTAAAAAAAAAAATCACAACTCTAATTGTTAAGAAGCTTTTAATTTATTTTCTTCCCCTAGTAAAAAAAAAAAACCCGAAACAAAACAACAAAACAATGGAACCAAGCAAACAGCTATTTCAGAAGGACAGAAATAAAAACATTTTTTGTGATGTAGTATAAATACGATCTGGTGGACCAAGTAGCTACCAAATGAAAGCCAAAGTCTGAGACCTAAACAAGACGCTTCCACTGACTCATCATGAGCTTTTGGGCAAATTCTTCCAAGGCAATGGATTTATTGATTCCCAAGTTGTGTAACTTGGTGTAGTGTTCATGGAGCAGCAGAGAGTGTAACTGTAAATTGGCCCAGGATTCAACCCAGAGGATGCTGTTTGGCTGCTTGCAAATAAATGAACTTTAAAACCAGTGATATCCTGAGTTTTATTTCTGAATGTCAGCTGACTTAAAAATGCTAGTTCTGTATACTGTTATCTGCTGTAGTTCCAACGAACACAGAAGACATTAATTCGACAGAGCACAAGGAATAGTTTTTCTGTGGGAATCAGGAGCATGGCATGCAGGCAGATATGGCCACTTGCATCTGATGTTAATTGCAGCAGAGACCCAGGATTCCTTCCCCTTGCTTGTTTACTTTATGCACAGGACAGCTTTTTGCCTTGGGTCACCTTTCTTCTCTTGTGTATGGATCTGTCAGATGGCCACAGCTTTGGGGAAACCTTTTCTTAAGGTAGGGAAAAAAAAAGCACTGTAAAATCCCAAAATCTCAAGAAGAAAATTTAAAGTCATGTGCTTTTGGAGGTAAATATTTATGACTTTAGTTGATTTCAAGATGATAGGGTGTGTTTTTTGCTTGTGTAAGAACCTGTGATAAAAAAGTTCACCCTGTGCAGAGTGGCACTGCAAGACTTAGTCATGATAAACATCAACCACAGCATGAGTTTCTGGTTTTGAAGATCAAAACTTATGCTGTAGTAAGAGTTAACAAAAATAACGCGGGTCTGTTCCGTTGGGAAAAGACTATTCTGGTTTTTCAGCCCTAGTTTGGATAACTTTATGCCTTTGTCAGGAACATAAATCTTCAATATACTATTATAGTTCCTACAAAAAAAAACTACAGCTGTTGGCAACAGAGTTCCATTCTTTCTAGGAACAGCAAACAGTTACCCAATATTTTTTGCACTGAGTGAAAAAATATAAGCTTCAATGGCATTTGTATATCAGAATGTTTTTCAAATCTCTCTCTGCTCAGAAATTTCTCTGCCCAAGTGTTACATTTCTCTCTAAACTATATGTTGCTATTAAGTTATTTACTTTTGAAAGTGTTAGTACTGCACCTCTTAGTAGCATAGATGATTTCTCCACTCCACAGGAAATCACAGCATATTGAGAAAAAGTCTGAGACCCAGTGTTTGCCAAAGGAATCCTGCAGCAGCCGTTGCTATCTGGCAAACATTAGTGAATTTGGGGCACAGAGTTACACAGAATTGTCCTGGGAAAGCTGTTCTCTTATGACTAAGCAGGGAGTATTTTCTAATGCATTATTTTGTTGTGGTGGTGGTGGTGGTACCTAGTCAGCAGCCTGCATTAGGGTCCTCTTAGATTTGGGTGAGTTTTTTTTGATTTGACCAGATTTTGGTGTGGTTGGGGTTTTTCCCTGGGTGTGTGGGGAGCGTGTGTTCTCGTATAGCTATATAAAGCTTCACGTTGTGTAACACTTTGGATGAAGCATGTGAATACAAAACAGCAAAACATGTACTTCTGCTGAGAAAGCCATCCTTCCCTCCCCCCGCAGCTTTCCTAAAGTCCTTTTTCCACAGCTGGGTTGTAAGTTTCTAAGAATTCATATTCAAATGCAACAGCGTTAGGACATGGGGAAGTTTAGCATCTCCTCTTACCTTTTGTTGGCTGCTTCCTGCCCTCTTCCTATCCTGCTTCCTCTCACGTCTAATGCAGGGAGGAAACAGCCTGGTCTCTTAACTTTTCCATTTGGATGTTAGATAGGAGAGCAGCTGATGAATTTCTTCTCTTTCTCTAAAATGGTGGACAGAAGACGGTGGTGTTTTTTTTTTTTTTTTTTTTCTTT